TCCTGGGTCAGGCCGACGCCGCGCTCGAAGAGGGCGATCGCGTCGACGGCGGCGGTCGCCTTGGGAAACTCGTTCTTGAATATGCTGCTTTTGCGATAGCTGAAGTAGGCGGCAAAGAAGAGGGTGGTGAGTAGTGCGGCCTAGACAGGTACTGTGAATAATGGTCCCACGTTGCGGCATCATAGGCATGGTGACAGCCTTCGTGCATCACGGTCCTTGTGTCTTGCATTTTGCGGAGCTCGTCCAACAGGAAGCGGGCATCTCCCGGAGACGGAGGGTTTCGACCGTAAAGAACTTGCCGAACTGCCTCCCGGAAGACGCTCTCATGCATGGCGTAACCCGGGCGAAGACTCCTGTCCAGGTAGAATGCCCATCGCGGGATTTCGGGAAACTTGATGACGAGGTCGTCGTAGTGCGGACGATAGGAGCCCTGCTCATGACGGCGTAATGAGCAACAGCATCACAGACGGCAGAACCAACGACCCACATCACCTGCCCTTGTGGCGGCGGCAGGGGATGTTTCAAAAGGATCCTGATGAGGCAAGGGCTATCAATCGCGGCCGTCGGCGGAAAGGTCAGCAATCCTACCTCGCCCTCGATCAGACCGGAAGCAGAAGCCAACAGCTGGTCAAAGTTCACTCCGGCAAAGAAGGCCCCGGCGCCGAACTCCTCGGGCGGCTGCCAGCCCCGGTAAGCTCGGCCATACTTGCCCGGGTTGTCCTCGCCGTCCTCGGGATCCGAAGCATAGGCGTACGCGGCCGGTCCGTCTTCTTGCCATGGGTCATCGCGGCCCTTCCACGGGCAGTTGACCGACTCGCAACCGCGGCGAAGCTTCTTCTGCGCCGACTCGAGGTTGACGGAATCAAGCTCGTCCAGAGTGCCTTCCTCGAGCCGCTCGCCGTACATAGCGTTGTGCTTGCCACGGTTCGTGTCCAAAGCGGTCGCATTGTGGGTCACGCAGACGGGGCCCACGGGCAGCTGCATTTCCTGTACCATGGCCACGCGGTCGGCGACAGTGCCATTCGGCAGCGTCTGCGACAAGTTGACGCCCTTGATTCCCGTCTCGTTGCCTTCATGCGGGCTCGTGCCGTGGCCCACGTGGAGGTGAGCGCCGAAGCCGTCTGCCCACGTGACGGGGCAGCCGGGGGCGGAGCAAGCCAAGCCCTCCGGAGGCACAACGTTCAGCTTCTGCAAATGGACCACAAATCAGCGTGGCACACAACGTTGATCGCGAGAAGCACCTGGCCCATCTTCTGGGTGATATAGGACTTCTGGAAGTCCTTGATGATCATGGCACGCAGCAGCTTGAGGCGCGCGTCGTACCCGTCCTTGCCCCCGGCTGGCTGCTCGAGCCAGGCCTTGGTCTCCGGATACCGGTTGAGGACGACGATCAGAGCTTCCGACAGGATGGTGTCCGTCGGCTGAAGCCGCGAGTCCATGTAGCCTTGGAACGTCGAGAAGGGTCCGGCCGGGACGCTGTCGAATTTCTCGAGTGCCCTTCGGATCTGGTTGTCCTCCGTCGCCTCTGCAAATGCGAGACGAAATCAGGCTTGCCATGGCGCTAAGCTCGAGACGACAGACGTACCACGCCTCGCGCGTTCCCGGCGTGCCTTGGCGTTGATGAGTTGACCTTCCTTGAGCTGCTTCTTGAGCTTCTCCGCACAGCCGACGGTGCACGTCCACATCCTGTTGCCGCTTGGTAGCTGAACCCCTTTGTCGGCTCCGAAGCCCGGGCAGCCCGGAAGCGCACACTGGAAGAACGGAAAGGCAGCCTAACGTGAGGAATGGCTGCATCTAAAGCGGCATGAACACGTACGGGCTTCCTTGTGGACAAAACAAGGGCCGAGTCGGTAGACGCCTCGTCGTCGGGCTCGACAACCTCGATCATGCCGTCCTGCGGACGGCTTTGAGCCAGGTATGGGCAAAGGAAGCGCTGGAGGCACGCACCACTTGAGCTTCCGCGCCGGCAAAGAGCACCCTGGGGACGCTTGCGGCGCGCTTCTTCTTGACCTTGCCCGCCTTGGTCTCCGGTTTGCTGGATGTTTCCTGAACGGGGAATCAGTGCCGTGAACGGCGACGTCAGGCGATCGCGCGTTTGCCGACCTCCGTCTTGGCTTCTGGCGACGCAGCTCCGATCTTGACGTCGAGTTTGCTGGATGCCTTGCCCTTCTTCTTCCTCACGTTCGGCGAGAGTGGTCCTGAAGAACAACAAGAACAACGGGAAGCATTAGGTCAGAAACACGGACCACGAGCAATCCACGTGCCTTTGATCAAGTTCTCCTCCCGCTCGGAATCCTCCGACGACGACGTTTCGACGGCACGCCGGTTCTTCCTCTTCTTGCTCTGGAAGCTGTGCTCGAACGGGTCGTAGTCGTCATCTACACGCGGGCCGCGGTCAGCTTCCGGGCAGATACGGCGAACGTGGCTTGAGTACGCACCCGACGAGTCCCGTTTGGCGGCTCGAACACGTTTGCTCTGTTTCGACTGGCCGTGGACGGTCTTGCCCTTGCGCGGCAGGTCGTCGTCCGAATCCTGCGGCGGCCCACCGCCGGGCAGGCGGAGGATCTTTGATTCGCGCACCTCGGCCCTCGTGGGCCGCGGCGCGGCAGCGTCCGAGTCTCCCATGGCTGCGTGGTGTCCCGAGCCCAGCAGCGGCGCAGGAAGGTGCCCGCCGGTGCCGCGGTCCGGCGCTGCCCCGCCCGGCTTGGGGCGCTCGGGGGCGGTCGCAGGCGTGCGCCGAGGCCGGGAAAAGGGCGAAGTTTCGGGAAACGCGTCCGCGCGACGTTCTGCGCCGCGAAAGTGCGGGGCAGAAGGGGTGTCCGTCCGCGGGGCGAGTTGCGATTCGAAAGGAGTTCGCAGGGGCGCCGCCGGTCCCTCAAAACCCAACCAATCGCGGCGCGACCAACTCGCCGCCAAACCGGGCGGAGCACTCCAAATCCGTCGCAAAACAGCCAATGACGACGCCTGCCGCAGACGGGCGGGGGGATTCCCCCTCCCAGGCGCGTCGCGGCCAGCCGTGATCACGTTGGTGCGACGGCCAACGAGTCCCGCCCGACTGCCCTCGAGTGGCGTTGCCGCACGCGTCTAGGCCTCCAATCGGGCGTCATGATCGACTGTCCTTCCGCTGGCGGCGTGTTGGCCGTTCAGATGGCCTCCTCGGCGAGCGGAGGGGGCGACGGGCTGCGCACAGTCAGCGTCTCTTTGCCCCGCGTCGCCCGCCTCGGTCGGCCTCTGGAGGCCCCTTCTGCGGGTTCATCTTGCTCCAGGAGGGTGGGAAACTTTTCCGGCATCGAGCCTTGGAGCCTCGGTCATCGCCGGGCGTCGGATTCCGAACGGTCGCTCGGGGCAACTCCGGTTCGCGTGCCCGCCGAGGATTCCGCCGGCGACAACCAGTGGGCCCCAATCTCGACCGCCTATCCATGGGAACACACGGTCACCGAGATGGAGACTTGGAGGCGTGGTGGAGAGCGGCAGTCGGTCCCCCGTGAAGTGGGCGTCGGGTCGGCGGGTCTCCCAGCTCGAACCGGCCAGCTTCTCCATGCTCGGCATGTTCATCGGTGTTTTGAGGTGCCCACCATCGTCCCGGCCGTCTCGAAGGACGACGGCATCTTCCCGACAAGCGTGGATCACGTGGGACGGCGGTCAGGGGGACGGCGCGCCCTCGGCTGCCTCGGGCGACGGCGCCGGCGGGAATGCCCCGGATCCGACCTCCCTTTCGAACTCAGAGGAGGATCTCGGAGGTTGGCGGCACTCTGCAGGCAGAGCGGGGGGAATGCGATGCGGGTGGCGGGAGCGCGCCTTCCGCTCGAGGGATATCGTGCCTGCCCCCTGAACAGCGGCGACCTTCAAGCAACCCGAGGGCCCGTGCGGGAGACTGAATCCGAAAGAAGGCAATCAACGGAATCGTACCTGATCGTTCTTTTGCAGGATCGCGCCAAGCCGTCGGATCAGATACCGTCCGTGAACGCCTATAGCCACCAAATTCTCCGACCGCTTGCCAGGTTCATTAGCCGGCCAAATATGATACAACAAAAATTAGATTCGATTAGCTGGGGAGCAAGCGACGGCATGCGGGTGTCGCAGAAGGCCTTTCCCCGCACCTCCGACACCTCCAAAACGCCCCACCAACAGCAAAAGGCGGATGGCCTTGGCGTATGATTACGAGCAGGCTTTCGGCGGGAGAGTGGGGCTTGCCAAGGAGTTGATGAGCTAGCATTCAAACTTAGAAGAGCAATTTTTGTTCGCGAAGACAGAGTAGTTTGAAATGGCGGCTAAATGAAGTAGTCGACGGGCTGGCCCAAATCTGCCGATCCGACCCGGTATCTACTCCACTTCCCAAAAGACCGACTTCTATCCGAGCGCGACGGAAATTTCCTCTTTGATGCTTCCTTTGTGCGGCGCTTTGCGCCGCGGCCCAGAAGGGCGGCGGCCGCAGGCCGCCTCCACCCCGCTCCTCCACATCCCCCACCGACAAAAACGATCTCGGCTTTGAAGCGACGCTGCTATCGTAATAATCCCGTCAATTGACTGATTTTGACAAAGCATCTACACCTGACCAACATGGATAGAACCAACCCAACGACATCGCGCTCCACATCCACGATCACTCGGCCGGCGCCCTGCTGCGCGCCGCCTCACGCCCCGCCTCCCGCGCGAGGCCGCTGCCAAAGGATCCAACCGAGGGGCAACGGAACGGTCCACGGGGCAACGGAATGGTCCACGAGGCACCGGATGGGTCCACGGGTGCGGATCTGATCACCCACCACGGCCCCAGCCGGACACCAGCCCCAACCGCGCCGGCGTTCAGGGAACGAAAACGCGGACGTGCCAGCACGAGCGAGGAGTGGAAAACGAGCGATGGAGTGAAGAACCGGCGAGGAGTGCGCTTGTTGGGTCTTGGTGGCGCCTCCCTCCCTCCGTGCGCTCCCTGCCCCCCCCCCCTACTCAAAATCCTAAACTCACTTCACCAAAAACTCACTTCACCAAAAACTCGACGTAAGGGGGCAAGCTGGGATTTGAACCCAGGGCCACTCCGAACTCCGAGACGGAAACCCGAACGGAGTATGATGCCACTACACCACATGCCCAATTTTGATCGAAGTTCTAGATGATTCTGGGGAGCTGGAAGGCTAGGGCACTGGGAACGAGGCGGGGGCCTCCACAACCCGCTCCCTCTCCTTTCAAGCGCCGCTGAAAAAAACAGAGATTCGATGCCACTGAACCACATGCCCCCACCAATCGAGGTTCTAGCCGGTTCTGGGGACCTGGAGGGGTCGGAGGCTCGGGGGTAGGCCGTGTACGGCCCGGCGCCGCCTGACTTGTCCCTTGCTCTGCGCCCCACAGACGAAACGCCGGGCGGGCACGCGATGCCAGCGACCGCCATCCGCGGATCGTTCGCCGATTGGGTCCATCGAGTGGCCTTTGGACTGTAGGTTGCTGCTGGTGACCGAAGCGCTGCCGTGGGCGCCTCGAGAAGCCTGATCTCGCCCGCCGATTACACCGATCAAACGTCAGAACAGCACCGAACATGTCTGGTATGGTTGATTCACAGCTTCGGTGCCCGTCAGCATCCGAGAGGGCAGCCGGGACGGGGCAGTGAGGCAGCTACAGACCCCGTAGAAGAGTGCTCTAGCTGCGGCATGCGGGCATTTTCAGGTCCATTGATGGCCTAAGCACTCTAGAATAGCGGCGTAGCGAATATCCTCGATGGGTGCTCGTTGATGTTTAGTCGTCGGCGACCCGCCAAGGTCCTTGTGCGGTCACTTCGGAACTGACATTGGAGCCATCCGGGCTCGCTGGTTGCAAAAATGATGTATCTCCCACTAGACTTTTGTTTCCTCCGGATTGGGGATAGCGGCGTGCAAGTAGCAGATCGACGTTGCGGTCCGGCGCGCCGCGAATGGCCAGCCCTGTGGGATGGAATTGGGCAGAATCGCGATTCATCTTGTCCATTTCATCCTTTTGATTGCTCTCCCGCAATTGGGAATCGCCAAGACTTTCGCTTTCCGGAAGGTTGGGGAAGGCCGTGGAGATCTCTGCGCGCGTTTTGCCGCTTTCCCGACCTGTTGACCCGACCGCACCGCTTCCCGGACAGTCGGACAGTCTCCCGTTGGGCCTGTGACGCCATCGCGGACCGTCTGGACGCTCTCGATATTCTGCAATGGCGTTCCAGCATGACTCGCTGTACGCCGGCAAGTTCGAGGGCCAGCTCGGCGTCTTTGTCCGCCCGGGCTCGGAGGACGTGCCCGCCGAGACGGTCGTCATCCGCGCGCCGCCGCTGCTCGCCGAGAAGGACGCTTCTTTGGACCCCCTGCGCCGCTGCATGAAGCTGGCGCTGGGCCTGCGCTCCGCCGACCCCGCCGTGGTCGAGGCCCTGTACCCGCGCGAGCAGGAGTTCGAGGAGGAGTTGGTGGACAGGAAGGCCGTCACGGAAGCGGCCGAGAAGCTCATGGAGGAGCAGCCCAAGTGGGAGGAAGAGGGCGTCGATTTCTCGGCCATGGAGCCGGAGGAGCGGAAAAAGATCGTCTGGCTCTTCGAGAAGGCCTACAACAACGTCCTCTACACCGCTCAGGGCAGCATCATCTTTGGCGGCATGGCGCACTACCTCAACCACTCGTGCATGCCCAACGCCGTGTGGAAGGTCGATTCGGAGACTGGGGAGCTGATTGTCAAGACCGTCAAGAATGTCGAGGCTAACGAGGAGATCACCATCGGCTACTTTGCCATCCGGGACAGCAAGGTGGGGTTCCCTCGCGGCTTTGGTCCATCATCGGCTCATTCTCGACGTTCCACGCCGCCATCGTCGAAAACGCTTGCCGCTCGCCCGCGATCACGGACTCCAGGTCGACCTCTTCTCGGAGCTCGGCGAGTACTACGGTTTCACGTGCCACTGCGACCCCTGCATGATGGTGTACCGCATCATCGATCCGGACCGCTTCCCGCCGCCGGACGAGGAGCGCAAGATCACCATCGAGAAGCCGCTGCGCCTCAGCCAGATGCCGTACCTGCTGAACTGGTACCAGAACACCTGCACCTGGTGCGGCAAGCGGCCGGAGAAGCTCCTCACGTGCTCCCGGTGCCAGGCGGCAAAGTTCTGCAACCGGGATTGCCAGGCTGCCGACTGGGCGGCCCTCCACAAGGGGTTCTGCCCCACGATGAAGGAATGGCGCGAGACGGGCGTGATCGTCACCCCGAAGCCCGTGGCCAAGCCGGAGGAAGCGGCGGCGCCCGTCGTGGAAGCCGACTGAAGGTTACGCGGAGTTGAGCGGAGCAATCTTGGCTTGTAGCCCGGCAATCGAAAGAGCTTCCCTGGTGATCGTGTTGGAAATTGCAGCGAGACAGCACCAAAACCAGCCTCCGTCTTTTCACGCCGGCTGGCCTCTCCCGGCACGATGTCGTCTTTCGACGCGTCGCTGCTGCCCGGCACGGACCCGCAGTACCTCCCCGGCGCCGCGGGCCTCGTCGAAGTCGTCGACAGTGCGTCCGCGGGCGACTTCCCCCTGAACGGCCCTGACGCCGCCCGTTCCCGCCGCATCGCGCCCACGGTCCATTGTTTCCCGCAGAGAAACTCCTCGTTATCCTCCGCGACGGCCGCAAGGTCGTCGGCATCCTCCGGTCGTACGACCAGTACGCCAACCTGGTCCTGCAGGACGCGGTGGAGCGGATCATCGTGGACGGGCGGTACGGGGACATCCCGCGAGGCGTGTTCGTCATCCGAGGGGAGAACGTGGTGCTGCTGGGAGAGATTGTGGGTTCCAGGCCGCGGGCCGCGGTCCGGGAAGAGGACTGACGCGCTGCCGCGTGGGAAGGACGAGACAAAGGACGAGACGCCGGGGCTGAAGCAGGTGCCCATCGCGGAGATTCTGGCGGCGCAGAAGAAGGAGAACGAGGCGCGGCGGCATCGGGAACTGTTAAAGCAGAAGGTGGGTGGTCTCTTCGACGCTTCAGAAGAGCTGTCTAACTGCTCTCCGGGCGCCGTCCGTCTTTCGTGCGGCCAAATCAGGCTCTCGGCGTGAGCTACGAGGTGTCCGAGGGCATGGACAACTACTAGCCTCCTCGAGGAATGCCCCCGCGCCCCCTCCTCCCCCTCCTTCCCTCTCTTGCGATACCTGCCTCGGCCGCCGGTCTAGACCGCCATACCCGCGATACCCGGACGCCATAATGTAGCAACGGCACGGAATGGTGCCAACACGATGTTTGGCACCGAAAGCTGGCGGCCACCGAGATCGCAGGCCCACATCCGGATCGCACATGCCCATGTTCCCAAAACCGGGATTACAAGCAATCTCCACGCCCCGCTAAGCATCCGAATCCGCCCTACGCAAACGCGCCGACGATGGCCTTGGTGAACTCGGTCGTCTTTGCGCTCCCGCCCAGGTCCGGCGTGCGCACGGCGCCCTGCGCGATGACCTTGTGCAGCGCGCTCGAGATGCGGTTCGCGTGCTCGTCCAGGCCCAGGTGGCGGAGCATCCAGCATGCGGAGAGGATCATGGCGGTGGGGTTGGCAACGTTTTGGTGCTGCGGGGAACAAAGCTCAGCGGAAGGCATATCGGCGACGGGGGGGCGACGGACCTCGATGTCCTTGCCGACGTGCCGGCAGCCGGGCTCAAAGACGGCGTACTGCGAGCCGATGTTGCTGCCGGGGATGATGCCGGGGCCGCCGACGAGGGCGGCGCCGATGTTGGAGAGGATGTTGCCGTAGAGGTTGCCGCACACGACCACGTCGAACTGCTGCGGCTTGGCAACCATCTGCGGTTCAGGAGTTGCGATCAGTTATTGTCCCCAGGCAGGCACGTTCTGTGCGCAAGAAGACGGACCTGCATCGAGGCGTTGTCGACAATCATGTCCGAGAACTTGATGCCCACGTTCTCGTACTGCTTGGCCACCTCGCGGCAGACGGAGAGGAAGAGACCGTCCGAAAGCTTCCTAGTGGGCCGGGGCAAGCAACACGTCAACACTGGGGAAGGCAAGTGCCTGGCGCCGAAACCAACATGATGTTGGCCTTGTGGATGGCCGTGACCTTCTTCCGGCCGTTCTTGAGCGCGAAATCAAAGGCAAACTTTGCTATCCGCTCCGTCTTTGCCCGGCTGACGATCTTGAGCGACTCGATGACCCCGGGAACCGGCTGCCGAGATTCGCGCCCTGAGTTCCACAATGACGCGTTGCGCAACAAGAAAAGCAGCACCTGGTGTTCCAGCCCGCTGTATTCGCCCTCGGTGTTCTCGCGGATGATGGCAAAGTCGACGCCGCCGTGCCGGGTCGGGAAGCCCTCAAGGTTCCGGATGTGCGACAGCGACGCGAAGATGTCCAGGTCCCGCCGCAGCATGACGTTGAACGACACGTGCCCCAGGCGCGCCGTGGGCGTGAACAAGATGCCTGGAATGGGGAATGCTCGACCGGGGCGGCTCCGGAGCCGGGGGTGCGGCCCACCTTTCAGGCCGACCTTGTTCCTGCGCAGACTGACCAGGGCCGCCTCCAGCAGGCCCCTGTCCTGCTTGTCCGCGTAGCCCGACACGTTGTACTGCTCCCACTCGACCGGCACGCCCGACGCCTTGAAGATTGCCTTGACCGAGTCGGTCAGCTCGGAGCCGATGCCGTCGCCGGGCAGCAGCGTGACGGTGTACGTGCCGCCGTAGACGGTGCCCTCGAACGGGCCCGCGTTGACGGTCGGCAGCTCCTCGATCGACGTCGCGTAGCCGCGGCGCGGCGTCGGGCGCGCGCGGGGCGGCGCGCGGGGGGCCGCCACGCCCAGCGGCGCCAGCACGGGGCCGCCGGCGGACAGCGCGCCGCGCAGGCAGCGCGTCGGCCGCGCGATGGCGGCGAGCGGGTTCATGGCCGGTGGTATCGCGGCGTGACGCGGAGGGTGGCGTCGACCTCAGACCCTGGCTTCGATCCACTCCGCGTGCTCCAAATCCAGGACACGCCTTCGCAGCCTTGTGACCCGCAAACACCGCTACGCCCACACGAAACCATGCAATTCAGATCTTACACGAAGCGGCGCTCCACCTCGTCGTCCCACTCCCGGCGGAACACCTCCAGATTGCCGTCCCAGGCAACAAGCTTCGCCCTCATCCGCAGCTGGCCCAAG